TGCCTGATTATCCACATTTATCCACATCAACTTTTCTTTTAGATAGATAAATGAAAACCATTGAAAACAAACACAGAACAGCTGATCAGCTGATCAGCTGATGTGCGGTGTTGGCGGGAAACGCTGCTGAAGAGCGCGCGTTGTGATTGGTTGTCCGTAAGGCGCGCCGAAAAATGAACAGGCCTGAACGAGATACGCATTCCTGCATTTAAACCCGAGATACGCGAAAAAAGTTCTACGGTTTTAGGTGACTTCCCGATTTTTTTCGATTATAATCTCTTGCTGGCTGATAGACGACATCTTCAACTACACGTTTATGCAGCTAACTCAAAACTGTCAAAACTCGAGATACGCACTTCTGCACTTTCACCATCGATGTGTGGGGGATTTGTGATTTGACCATTGATTCTTATGTAAAAGTTCGCGAGAAACACGATGGTACAACTGGTTTTCTCTGAAATCATCTCCCAAGCTCAAAAAAAGCTCTCAAAGTGAGGCCAAAATGGAGGGGATATCCCACCCTACCCTGAGAGTCCACCTCTACATTAAAACAAACTCTCCATGCAAAGATAGGGAGCAAATACATTAGCAGGGTTGCCGTGTTTTCAGTTTTGGAGTCCCCAAATAAAGTGGCAGCCCTGTCAATGTAGGTATTTGCTTCCTATCTTTGAATGGAGAGTTTGTTTTAATGTAGAGGTGGACTCTCAGGGTAGGGTGGGATATCCCCTCCATTTTGGCCTCACTTTGAGAGCTTTTTTTGAGCTTGGGAGATGATTTCAGAGAAAACCAGTGGCACCATCGTGTTTCTCGCGAACTTTTACATAAGATTCAATTGTCAAATCGCAAATCCCTCACACATGCAACACACCTCCATTCATACGCAATATTCTAGGTACTGACAGAAAAGAAAAATCGAGGAAATTTTAAAAAAATTACGTTGACTATTTTTCCAAGGATAAAGTAAGTTTGACTAGAAGTGCATGGCGTCGCAAACGCAGATACCTACGTGGTCTCGCACGTTAGTTATAGAATTTCAATTCTACGATCAATTTCCAACTAACTGGGAGGAGGTGTCTTACTTTTTTTAAAAGGGTTTATTCAAAAACGGCAAAAAGGTTCCTAGCGAAGTGTTGAACCAATTTCTAGTAAAAAAGCTAAGTGTGAAACTGTAAAGTTCCATATCTATCGAACGGGAATAGATTTTGAGGTGCGGTTTACCGAAAATTCTCTAAAAATGCGTCCTCTTCGAATACGTCAGTGAAAGTTTTACTTATTTACACTTGCAATGTTACTTACCATTTTTTAATTCCTTCTGTGATCGATTTTCTTAAAATTATAGCACATCGTCGAATGCCTCTCTTCAAAACCAAACAAGAAACTGTTCATTGCATTAGTCGTACTTTTCAATTTCTCTTGATCTATGGTAGTTCCGAGGTAAACGAATGGAAGGGGAGGTATGAGCTATTAGAGGAAGACGCTCCGCGCCAAAGATTACTAAGGACTCCAGATACCGCATTGGAAAAAAAAAAAACACGGACCCCCATGCCCCTACAGCTTCAGGGTAGGCAACCTATGTGGCAGTATGCCATACTTCGAGCTAGAGCTAACGAATACTTATAGAGCTTGCCGTTCGTTTGACCATTTTGACGTGCTCTGATAAGTTTATTTTTGAGATTCACTTCGTTAAAGTTTGTTATTTTGTCAAGTTTTTAATTACACTGGTCAACATGGGTTCTGTCCTTCGAACCAAACCAATTTTTTTCGATTCCTAGGTGCTAAAGAAGCCCGAAAATGGCCATATTAACTTCAGGAAAATTGCCTGGTCCTCAGGGCGCCGCCATTTTGAATTTTTCAAAATTGAGAAAACCCACGATTAGATTCTTGCAAATATCTCCTCAACGGTTCATCTCACGAAAAAAACAAAAAACCAGCGGAAAGAGCATAAAATTTCCTACCGAAATCATCTTCCTTTGTTTCTCCTAACCTAATTTTTTGGTCGTAACATTAACGTTTTCTTCAAAAATTAGCTTAAAAAGGCATATTTTTGCTGATTTTGGAAGAAACTTTGCTTCAGACCTCCAGCCACGATTATCTGATGAAAAAAACTGTTATGCTCATTGAAAAGAGCGTAAAAGGAGGAGTATCGTTTTGGGCCTTTTCCGGCCCCACCTGGATTTTGCTGAATGTTTCATATTTTCAAAGTACCTACTAGTCCTAGGTAGACTTTATGCCAAATATTTTATCGAACGGAGCCCATGCAAAGGTGCAACAACGCCTCAAACCCAGAACCTCGGCATCGAAAAATAGTTATTTTCGTCGACTTTTTCGACTGTTATCACTCTTTCAGTAGATGATTCATATGTATTTTTTTGCGTACTTTCAGTCTCTGGCCTTTTTATAGGCCTCCGACAAATTCTTAGGGGTCTTATTGCCCATTGTTGCCATTTTTGGCCCATTTTTAGGGTTTTTTTCAATTTTACACACCCAGAAATCAATTCAAACTAAGTACCGTGTACGTTTTTGAAAAGAACGCAAAAAAATGAATAAAAACTGTTCAGTGAAAGTTTTTCCTACGTTGCCAAATTTTCGAGAAAAATCGTCCCAAAGAGCCAAAAATGGCAAAAATTCGATTAATTGCCACGCTTAAGGTTCAAGAAAGTGGAGTACAACTTTTATATTGACGTACGTAACAGCTCTTACCTATATATACAACATATAAAAAAATTATAGTTGTACCTGGATTCCCACGATGTGAAAATTGACCGGGATGTCGATTTTAGCGGCCTTTCTTTACTTGAAGGTAGCTCTTTTGAATGTTTCTTGACCTTAGTCACCCTCTATGGGTGAGTACTATATTTTATATTTTTCTACGTACTTTTCATATCTGGCCATAAAAATGGCTTCCTCTGAATTTTAAAAGGCGTAACGGTCCATTGTTGCCAATTTTCACCATTTTTTAAGGGGTTTTTCAAGTTTACATGTGTGAAACTTAATTTAATCGAAAAACCGTGTACATTTTCGGAAAGAACGTAAAAAAATACATAAAATGTGATTTGTAACTTTTCCCTACGTTGCCAAGTTTTCGAGAAAAATCGTCCTGAAGCGCCAAAAATGCCAAAAATTGGATTAATCATCACGTCCAAGGTTCCAGGAAGTGAATATTTAGTTTTATTTCACTACAGATAACGTATCGGAAATGGAAAATTGCAGTGCGTCTCACGGAACATGTAATGGCTCAGATGAACGTGACAAAACGGACCCTCAAGGTGCTTTTATCTTATCCTTCACTCCAGTTCACCTCTTTATTCCTGTAACCTCGAGATCATCCTTGGTTCTCAAGATGCTTGCTACAGGCCAAATATACCAAACAACAGAAACTGCGTGGGGAAAGTGTCCCACGATCCGCATGAAAGTCATAATTCACTTTCTAGAACCTTGGACGTGATGATTAATCCAGTTTTTGCCACTTTTGGCTCTTTGGGACGATTTTTCTCGAAAATTTGGCAACGTAGGAAAAACTTTCACTGAACAGTTTTTATTCATTTTTTTGCGTTCTTTTCAAAAACGTACACGGTACTTAGTTTGAATTGATTTCTGGGTGTGTAAAATTGAAAAAAAACCCTAAAAATGGGCCAAAAATGGCAACAATGGGCCATAAGACCCCTAAGAATTTGTCGGAGGCCTATAAAAAGGCCAGAGACTGAAAGTACGCAAAAAAATACATATGAATCATCTACTGAAAGAGTGATAACAGTCGAAAAAGTCGACGAAAATAACTATTTTTCGATGCCGAGGTTCTGGGTTTGAGGCGTTGTTGCACCTTTGCATGGGCTCCGTTCGATAAAATATTTGGCATAAAGTCTACCTAGGACTAGTAGGTACTTTGAAAATATGAAACATTCAGCAAAATCCAGGTGGGGCCGGAAAAGGCCCAAAACGATACTCCTCCTTTACTTCTATTAAACATATGTCAATAGTTCCTAAACTTAATTTAATCCTGTGAAACAGCAGTTTATTAGCTCCGCCCTTAAAATGTGATTTTTTTCCACCATTTTCCTTAGAATCACGAAAAAAAGAGAGAAAACCCTAAAAACGTGACCCGAACTGTGTAAGAAGGTGGCAAAATAGTGCTGAGTCCTTACTAATTGCCATTTTGAAAACAAAGCCAAAAAGTTCAAAAATGTTCAATCAGAGTCAAAAATTGTGAGCTCCAATGAGCATCAGTACAAAACTGAGGGGGGAGAGTGTTCAGCTCAGGCAGTTTGCATTGGAATATGAAGGTGAGGTAACGTCGAGAGATCTATAATTTTGGGTCTTTTTATACCTCATCAGTAGATCACACTCGTCATGTGAACCTAACTGAAAATCTCGCAAAATCCAAGACGGCATCAAAGCTCATGTTCGAAGTAGGTACTTTGGTCTTACAGAACAGGGCCGTGGCGTCCTATAATGTCGTGCTAAGGAAGAACGCCGTATGAACATTCGAGAGTTGCCAAATTTGTCCGGATAAAACATGTATTGCTGACGAAATTTATGCTTATTTTTTCTTGAAATTTTCAGACATTTTAGAACGAATTGTGAGCAAAATGGTCTGAAAAATTGGAAGAAAAATATGTACGATTTCCTCAATAAATTCGTATTTTATCAGAGGAAATTTGGCAATGCCTGAAGGTTCATACGGCGTTTTTCCTTAGCATGGCAGTATAGGCGAAAGGGAGCGGTTACCCCAGGCGCTTTCAAAAGGGGGGCGCCGAAAAGTCGAAAAGGATAGAGGACGGGAGAAATAGAAAAAGAGAAAAATTGCTCTCTTAAAATTCAAGATTTCCTTAGAAAAGGGGGACCCCTTCCCTTGCAACCTTCCTCCGGGGGGGGGGGGGGGGAGGGCAAAATTCTTGCCCAAGATGCTAAAAGTGCAAGCCACGGCCCTGTTACAGAACGTGGCTTTGTGAAACAGCGCGTGGATGGCGGATCTAATCTGTTTCTTCCCTTGAATGTTGCAGTTCATCATAGGATTGCCTCAAGGATTAGAGTTTTTAAGAATAGCTCGGAATCAAATCACTGCCTTTCCAAGGCCGCCCGCTCCTGAAATGAATCTTGTCAACCTGAAATTCATGGATATTTCAGGTGAGAGCGTCGATCTAATGTGGAAGACTTGTATTTTTCAACAAAGTTTCAATTCAGGTTCATTGACTCACCTTAAAAGTTAGCCGAGAAAATCCCTTATGAGAGCTTCGTCCAACACACGTGAAAAGAAATCCTCTAAGATACTTCAGTGTCCCGGGCATTACCTACTCACATAATATCCACAACTGAAGTCGCAAACCTATACGCATGGGTATATACCCATTTTTTCTTAGCTCAACATGATGTTCGAGCGAATGTTCCCTTACGAAGTGTAATTAGGTTAGCTGTACCTCTTGCTTGCAACAGACCCACTAGGTACCAATTTTCCAATCTGAGGCCGGATTTTTTTACTTATACAATCAATTTTTAGTAGGTAAAATGCACTTTAGGTGTAGGTTTTATGTTAGAACCATTTAGGCCCTCAAACGTCTAACAGCCGCAATACCTCTGGAATATCTTAAGCTTTAACTGGGAAAGATCTAAAATCGAAGAGGCGCGATTTTCGATTTTTGAGTAAATGAATGGCCTGAAAATCCCAAAATTAAAAAACCTAAGAACGGTCATGTCCATAAATCACTTTTGGCATCATTACGTACAACATTAGCATTTTTAGAAATAACGTAAAAAGTTGACCTAAAGCAAGTCATTTATGAAATGGTGAATTGATACTAAACCAAGTCAAGGTCGATGGATCCAGGTCAGTCCGTCAGGAGAGTTCCTAGTTGACAGTAGGAATCCTATGAATATCCCACCAATATCTTACGACTTCGATTATCCTCCGAATATCCTATGAATATCCTGACATTTTCAGGTTATCCTCATTATATTATTCTACGAATATCCGAAAAAACGGCATATTAGACGATTTCCAGAATAAACATTCGATAAACTCCTCCCATGTGTAGAGGATCTCTTTTAAACATTTAATTTGTTGTAAATTGTTACATCTTTGTATGTAAGTTATATTCTGAACATTTAGACCGAGGTCCGGCAACACGCACACGAGCCGAATCCGCTCGCGCGCTAGAGTGTCGCCGTGCGTTACCTAATTAGGACTTTGCTCTTACGAATTGCACTTATTTGGTCATTCTGCTGAGTCCCGAACTTTTGTCAGCAAGTTCTGTCCCCTCTCTGGCCCAACTTGCGCCTATGACGCAAATTGGCCCGGGTCATTTGTCATTATAAAAGCTCGGTCACCTGAGCCTAATTTCAATCGTCGTCTCTCGTTTGGAGATCCCCCGTTAGGCCCGGTTCCCTCTACCATTACTTGTGCGTCTCTACCCATTTAATGTGCTAGTTGTATTACTCTCCTGTGAATTAAATAAACTTTTTGTATTCGTTACATTGATCTTTATTAATTTGTTTCGAGCATTATTGCTCTGGCGCAGTTGCCACTTCGCTCTTTAATTAGCCCAAACTTAACAGGCGCTTGCCGCTAGGATAATTTAAGTGCGACTTTCAACATCGCGTTGGTCCCACTTTTGCGAACCTCGTTCTTTTCTATGTCAGAACCAGAGTTCTTTCCAAGATACGGATCTGATTTTACCGTTCCATCTTTAACCACCTATCGTTTCATTTACACGAACGAAAGGGAAAAGAAAGAACTTCTGACTTTCATCACCAAACGTCTCACATCTTTCCGACAAGACTGGCCTGGGGAAGTCACGCAAACTGAAGATACTCTTACCGTCTGGATTGCTGGAATGCTCGCTTTCAACTACGAAGGAATTCCTGTGAGCTGCCGGGCGTATTTCGACAATTGCAAACGGGAAGGAGATTTTGCAGTCTTCAAGAAAGGACTCGAGAACTACCATCCCTGGTCTTTCCTGTGGTTCAGGCTTCCTCTCCGACGACTTCCCATAGCAAAGGTCGTGCTCCCGTACAGACCTGAGAAGGACATTCCTTGGAAATTATATAGCGCCGACAACGGGTTTCTCGGCAAACGTATTGACCGCCTTATCAGCACTCCTTCTGGTCTTCAAATCCGTGACTCCACAGCCGACTACGCAGATTTCCACACTTGTCCTCTCATCAGGAAAAAATGAAGTACATCGCTGCTATTTTGTGAGTAATTTTTGGTATGATAATAATATTCTGACCATCCCCCTCTCTCTTTTGCTTTTGTGATATCCTCAATTTTATATTTTTGTTAGTGAAACTACATTTTTTGATTCTCTTTATTCTTTATTTGTGAGTAAATCCCTTATTGCAAGGCTCCAAATATAAGACATTATTGACTTCTAGAAGTGATTCCTTACTGCTAGGCCTTCTATTAGGAAATAAATAAAAAAAATTATTTTTTCCTTGGTGAAAATTCTCCATGCTAACGCTACTGAACACTGTTTGCCCAATCGTAAGCGATCTTACTGTATTGGCGCAACAGACTGATTTTGAGAATCTGGCACCGACGGATGCCTCTCATTTGATGTGGGATTTTTTCCTTACTCACGAGTACGAGGATATTCGCAGCATTGAGATAAAGAACTACCTGGAAGAATTCTATTCCCGAGTACGTTCTCCACGAGAATATTTCGCTCAGCTACGAATTATCCAAAAGATGTTTCGTTTCCTTTTAGCCAATATGGACTAAGGAAATGTCTTTCACTTGGTTAAATAAATCAGCACCTATAACGCGTGATTTAATTGAGTTGATCGCTCCACTGAATTTATTTGAAATTTCTTGTGAAGAGTTCGTTCAACTAATTTTGCAGTTCCTAGATGACAGTATTTATCGCGACATCAGGAGTATTATAATTAAAGAAAAAATTTGCATAAATTTTGGGTTAAGACATAATAACTTTTGGAAACGTTTTAATCATTTTCGCAGCGCTCTAATTTTCTTGAAGGAAAACTGTGACAAGGGTTACGATTCTGATTTCTAAATTAATTTTAAATGTCTATTATCAGACCAGCTGTTCTCAACATACCCAACCAGAACGCTGATCCTGACCCACATCAAAATCCAGACCCAAACGCAAATCCTGGTCCGAACCAAGAAATTGTCGTCATGAATCAGGAACAATTGCTAGCTGAACTTCAGCGTCTCCGAGATGGCTATGCTGCCTTGGATAGGAGAACCCGTGAGGGCCCCTTCCATTTGAAAAATTCTGATATAAATAGCATATTAGAATTAAGGGAGAAACAAACTTGTTGCCCCAATTTGTTAAAACTTGTGATCAGCTTCATACTGCATTTTTCATTGCTGGTGAGCCAAATCACATTCAAAATTCGCAACTTTTACGCGGTATTTTGTCGAAAATTAAAGGGCAGGCTCAAATCCAGGTTGGTAATTTGGAGTATGCTACATGGCCCCAATTAAAAGAGAAATTAACTGAGTTCTTTGGTGACAGAAAAACAGACCTTACGCTTACAATCGAATTGTGTCGTATGTCCCAAAATTCCAGTGAAAAGGCAATAGATCTTTACAATCGTGTTACTTATCAGTTGAACCTGATAGTCGCTTTCATGAATACTCACCGAAGGTTAGCTCATAAGGATTTCATCCATGAGTTGAGCCTGCAAGTTATCTTGCGCGGACTCAGGGATCCTTTGCGTCAGTATCTGAAAGCTAAAAATCCATTGACCTTACCTGAGGCTTTGAACCTCGTGACTAATGAATTTCCATTTGAAAATTTGGATAATTACAAAGATGGCAATTCTAGTGGCTCTAGCCAAAAGAAGCCAAATCAAAATTTCCAAAATAAATCTGGAAATAAGAATAATCAATTTCAAAATTATTCTCAACAAAAGAAAGGTTATGGAAACCAAGGGCAAAATAAGCCAAACTTCCGGAACCAAAATAAACCTAATTATTCTAATCAGAATAAACCAAATTTTCAAAATAAATCAAATTTTAATCAAAATCGCGGTTCAAATCAAAAATTCAATCAACGACCTAGTGGTAGCAATAACGTGCCCACAAACCAGCCGATCCCGATGAGCGGTATTAGTCACGCCCACGTCACCGACGTTCAGCCTGACTCCGACTTGAATTTTGATGAACCCGATAACGACCTCTATGTTGAAGACGTGCCTGAAGAAATGGAAACGACTCCGTTTTTTCAGATAGAAGCCTCCCCTGAGCAGAACTTAACTTAAATAGTGTATCTAAAAGTATCTTACCTTATATCGTCATTCCCGAATTCAAACACGGCAAGTTCTTTGTTGATTGCGGTAGCACAAGTAGCTTTTTGGATCCAGAGCTTGCTAAGCAACTCTATCCAAATTTTATTCGGAAGTTAAAAATGGAAATTAATACGCAACATGGTTCACGAATTTCCGAAGAATGTGTCTACACGCCTGTTCCCAAAATTTTCAAAAATAATGGTTTTGTTCGATTTTTAATGTACAAATTTCACGATTTCTCTGATGGTTTGATTGGCATCGACATTCTCAAACGATTTAAAATGAATGTGAACTTTAATAAGCAATCTTTAGAAGCTGAAAAGTTCAAAATTCCTCTGTTTTTCCATAATACGAATCCGGTAATCGATAAAATTGTTTCTCCGCCTTTCACAGAAAAAATCATCAAAGTTCCTGTAAGCACTACAGAATGTGAAGTTTTTATTCCTCAGATTAAGTTGAATAAAAACTTAGAAATCCCTAGTTGCCTGAGTAAAGTTGATAATGGTTTTGCTACTTGTTCAATAGTAAACCATTCAAATACCAGGTATGAAATGACCCCAAAAGGTTTTGTGCCTTGCGAACCCGCAGGGAATTATCTGATCCAGGTTACAGATAAATGACAATTGAATGTGTTGAAAAGCTTGGAAAAGGTAAATAATAAGACTTCAATGCATAATTTTGAAACTTTTAAGAGAAGATTTGATTTATCTCTGTTGCGAACAAATCACCTCAACGCTGAGGAGTTTCAAGCAATTAAGGAGATAGCGCTTGAATTTAGCGATATTTTCTTTATTGAGGGTCAACCTCTGACCTTTGCTAACGAAGTCAAGCATAAAATTATCACCACGTGCGATAATCCAATTAACGTCAGACCT